CGCTCATAACCATAAACCACCCTACAAACAGCTCTCAGGCCCAAGTTGCCCATCTCATGAGTGAAAAATTTTACAGTTGCTATGCTCTTCGGCATCTCGGAGAAGGAAAGTTTCTTTTTATGCATTCCCCGAGGCGTTTGACACATTATTTTTTTTTCACTTCTTCACACCTTTTCACATATCAAAGGAAAGCTGGTTATATTCCACAGTATCAGCTGAAGGGAGAGTTGTAGGCATTCATACTCACTTCACAGTCACTAGCTACGATACACATAGTCCTTGATCAGAGAGCTGTCCTCTAGACTGTGCTAGATAGGTGTTGTCGGCAAGAGAAGCGTTCGTAATGCCGTCTCCGACCAGCTTCTATCGGTATATGATGCTTATGACGTCTGGGTTCATCGCCACGGCCGGATATACGAGATCGACGGTGCTCCTGGAGTCGTCGAGAGGATGCGATAAGGATGATGGAGACAACAGCGACGATGCGTCCACGGAAGACACGCTGAGGGTGTTGAGACAGTGGTTCCAGTGGTCGAAAGTTGCTCACACGACCGACGCCGAGGTGCTAATCAAGGAACAAAATTCGAACAATGGGCCTTTAATCAACGAGCTCAGGCTGAAGGAGAAGTACGCTGCGCCAAAGTACCCCGTTGTGCTCTGCCATGGGCTTTCAGGCTTCGATAAGCTGATGGTTATACCTTCTCCTGCCTATCTAATAGGCCTTAGCAAGCATAATCCCTCTGCAAGAAGAGACTTTATAGTTGCTGACAGGGACGGAGTTGCGCTGGAATATTGGTATGGGATCAAGGAGGCCTTGGAGTCCAAGGGAACAACTGTGATGGTTGCGAAGGTGCCTGGCTTTGGAAGCATCGAGGAGAGGGCCTCCATCTTGAACGACTTCATCACCAAAGAAGTGGAAAGATTGAGACACAGGCCTAAGGATGACATCTATAATGCTCAAAATCAAAGTGAGCAAACGTTCAAGCAAAAAGGTGAGAAGATGAAGATCAACCTGGTGGCTCACTCAATGGGTGGGTTGGATGCTCGTTACCTCATCTCCGAGTTGGAGAATGCAAACTATGAAGTGGTCAGCCTGACTACAGTAACAACACCTCATAGAGGCTCAGAGATGGCTGACTACGTATTGGACTTATCCGAGAAACTTCCCAACAGGGTCCAGATACCATTGCCACCAAGTTTCAAGCAGTTGACGACTGAACATATGAAGAGGTTCAACCAGCAAGTTAAAGACGACCCCAAAGTTCACTACTTCAGTTACGGTGCAGAGTTCAACCCTGCTTGGTACAACATCTTCTACGCAAGCTGGAGTATAATAAACTCCAGAGCTGGTCCTAACGATGGAATGGTGAGTGTAGAATCGTCTAAATGGGGCAGCTATCTAGGTACTCTGATGAACGTTGACCATCTGGATCTCATCAACTGGACAAATGGGTTTAAACAGATTATGAGTTCATTAACACCAGGTACAAGAGGCCCTCAGATCGATAGTGTTGCCTTGTACCTGGAAATCGCAGACAACCTTGCCAAAAGAGGCCTCTAGAGGCTTCACAACAGCTTACATGAGAATACAAAATAGACTTACACCTGATTATAAATACGTTATATACCATGGTTATTATATTCTTTAGAATAACAATCCATTGACGATAGAGTCGTAGTCCCGTGAGCAGCTATCACAGTACGTAGACAGTGCCTCGTTGTCAACTTGTAGCTCTTCGAATGAAACCTTACATAGGTTCAGTTCCGAAATCACAAAACTCTTGTAGTTTCCTGCGACGAGCTCCATCTCCACCTTCTCCAAGATCTTCAGCTGGATGAGAAGGTCGTTTCTCTTTAGAGCGATTTGGTGCCTTGGTTCTCTCAGTTCACCGAGGTGTAAGGAACCGTCATCTAAGGATGATATAAACTTCTTGAAACAGCCTGAAGAAGAGTTGAAGTTGAAAGAGGTCAATATCTCCATATCATCTAAAGAAATCGCACGATCCATAGAGGTTGTGAGTATTTGTTCACTAACACTCTTGACCAGTTTAGCCGAGTTCTTGGTACTCCAGTAGGCATACGTTGATCTCCCCATCAGAAAGAAGTTGAAGACAACAGACAAAGCAAGAAGAGCTATCAGCAATTTGTTCATCGTCACACTCAGCACAAATCTCGATACAAGGTCGGATATGTGATGACCAGCGTTCAATATGCCCTTAGCCAAACAATATAACCAATATCTCACATAGTACTTGAACAATATCTGGAGAGTTAGGTCAAACACCATGTCATCCTTTGGTCTATAGTCAACATCAGATTGGCTCAAGTTACCGTATGTTCTGATAGCTTTAATAACTTGGCCATGAGTACCTAAACCGGCAACACAGTGTCTCAATTGATCCACAAGAGAGTTTATTTCCTTGATCTGGAAGTTCTTTGTAATCTTCGAAAAGAACTTGGTGATGAGTCTGCTCGTCTTTCCTTTGGTGAAGTTGAATTTTGTATAGAACAGAACTTTACAGCTCTTTGCATCGGTCTCGATGATGATGATTTTTCGAATTGCACTGAATCTACTCCCTCCAAGGACCTGAACTGCATCCCTCACCTCTTGAATTCGATAGTACTTGTTATCGACAAGTTCTTCGACAGTCTGGATCGATCTATTATCAACACTAGAATCATGCCGTGAAAATCCGCTAATCATGTTCCTTGATAGTTCAATCTTGTAGTCCAAAACCCTTGTCAGCTTTTCACCTTCTTTAAACCAGGGAGAAATGTTGAACTGATCTGTATCGATAAGTGCAATAGAGTCCCGTGCTAGAGAGGAATGGTCACCGTAAAGGATATGGAAGACAGCCTTTGCTGGTGCCCTGAAATTGGCAACCTTTGTGAGTTCGAACTCGTTTTGGTAATTAGTCTTCATTTTGCTACCTGAGGCAGGGACTCCTGTAAAAGGTTGGAATGAGTTCAGTTCGTCATACTTTTTGGAAGGAGCATCGTCTGTATCAGAACTCTTCACAGAACTTTCCGTGTTCTTTGCAGCTTCCTCAGAATGCATTGCCTCAATCAAGGGGATGATTTCTGCTTGCGTTTTTGGTTTCGTTCTTGCAACGTTATTTATCAATAGATCAAACTTCTTCTGTAGCAGCTTACCATCTTGCATGAAGAGCCGGCCCTTCATGCTTAACCCATCAACACCATACACCTTGATAACTTCCCAGTCCTTCTCTGCCATAACATCAACAGCAACGAATTCAGTTATCGGCTTTTTAGACAGCGATATGAAACCAGTGCTGTTAAGGTAGAAGTACGCACAATTGACTGTCAAGAAACACCTTCCCGAAAGCTCCTGAGTCTGATTGAGGCACCAGAGACAAGTGAAATGAGCCACAACTAGTTCCTGTGGATCAATTGAGGCTTCAAAGAGAGATTTCAACTGGATGTCGTAGTTCATCAGATGTGCCGGATAATAAGGTGGGAAGTTCTTCTTCTTGGTTAGAGAGGTCAAGTTGTTTTCAGAAAAGTTATCCTGCTTGAATCCATAGAAGCTGTCACCACTATCATTCATATAATAGATACCCCAATTCACACTTCCCCAAATATTGGCAGTGACAGCAGTAGGTATAGAAGTGGGAGCAAGGAAAGCATGGGCCACCAATGCCAGCTTCGACCTAGCAGTGACCATTGGGGGATTCAAGTCTGGATCTCTAAACTCCCCCACTGATGATGATGAGAACTGGAACTCTGTACCTTCGCACCCATCGATAAGTTTTGAAAGGTTTGTGGAGGTGAGCAGCGTATGAGACTCACTGTTGTTGTTGTTGTTTTCAATCTTTGTACTTGTCAGTTCGATGTCAACAGAGGTCAACGAAGTCGAAGCAAATTCTTGCAACAGTGGAGGATAACGTCCAAATGCGTATTTCCCTACCTCGCTGTCAGCAGCATCCAGGGCCTTCTGCTTCTCCACAGAGAATACGGTTAACCAAGACTTCAGATCAACAAGAGATTCAGCCTGGAACACGATTGTAGAATCGATGGTTTTCACTTCAAAGCAGAATCTTCGATCCTCATCCGGTGCGTACCTAATATTGGCCAATAGCACACCAATCTTATCTGTTTCCTGGACAAACGTTCTTGACGGTGACAATGATAACAAGCCAAAGATTCCATTCTTCACAAATACCCAACGTCTGACCCACACCTGTCTAGAAGGCTTACCGACGCTGGTTTTCATATAGAGCCAAGCGTGCTTCTCATTACTCTCGGGAGAAGTTGCGTGAGTGTCAATGAGTTCATTCACGTTGATCAAGGCAATATTATGGTCTCTCAGCTCTCGAGACGGAGCATACTGCAAAGCTGTTGCCTTCTCGATCTGAGCTCTTGATTGCTTCATGTCTTGCAACAGTGCTTTTGTTGATTTCGATCCAGCTTTCGCCCAAGCTTCAAGCTTGGAGTTGTACTTCTCATCATAGTTGGATTTCCCTTGTAGACTCAACTGGGAGAACTTGATCAGCATGTAATCCAAGGCTTGCTGGAACTTGGAATTCTCCACACAGATGTCAAAGGCAGCAGCCAAGTATGACTGTCTAACCTCATAGAGCTGGAAGGCATCTTCTCTCAACGCCGAAGGCTCTCTCGTCTTTGATTGCGACGAGAACTTGTTCAGCAAGGAGTCATACTTGCTCTGTAGATATTCAAAGTTTCTTCGAATGTCCTTGTAGCTCTTTATGTCCTTCTTCAGGAACTGCGACAGCAGTTCAATCACCTCGGTATCGTTGAGCTCCATATCATCCAAACCAACATTCCAGAGGGTCTCCAGTCTCCCCTTGGCGGTCTTCAGCACATTCATCGTGGTTTCTTCACCAACAACAGAGAACTTGAGCAGATCAGGAATCAGTTGTCCCAGGACAACTGAGTTCACGTCTCTGAAATCACTATACTGTTGCGGATACCTCCTCAAGGCCCTGATCAGCCCATCGATCCACTGCTCTATCTGGTCCAGGAGACTACACTGGTAGTTCGTACTGGCCCTGAAACTGGGCGAGTCCAAAGCAGCTTCCTTTAACCGAACCGAAATGAGCTTGATCAACTTCGCCTTCTTCACGGCTTGCGGAGCATGTGTATCATTGTGCTGTGATTTGTGAGGAAGATCCGTGCCTAACACACTGGACAATGGCATGGTCTTTCTTTGCACCGTGTTTTCTTCCAGAGAACGCCGTGTTTCTCTCAGCTGTGTCTTGCTATAGAGGAGGCGGTATTAACCAGGTGTGAGACGTAAACAACAACCTTGTGAGAAACCCCGGGAACGGAAAATAAAATCCTCGGTGTGTACGATAATGCCAACTCTACAGTTTAATTAGTGGAACCTGCGCTGGAGAGAATAATCAATGGGAAGAGCCAATTGGCGAGTAGCCACCAGCAAGTAGGTGTATAAGGAAGGTGAACAGCAGACGGTGTGAGATGATGCTCAGATCGTGAGGCTACAGGCGTAGGAGGGCTTGCGGGCAGTGCATCTTTACTGCGTGGACATATGGCCTGTATTAGACTGTGTCTATATCGTCAATTTGCCCGGCACAGGTGGTGCTTGGGATACAGAGAAGGTCTGTACCTCTGTGATCACAACGTTCCGACTCTTCTACGTGGCTGTGTGGTTGAATCATAGCAGCACTGTTGAAGTGAGGCTAACATTGCTCGATAGTGATCTCCCGTATGGATCCCCTTTCCCGTTTCCTAACCATCGAAACGGTCTAGTAGTGTAGTGGTTATCACGTCTGTTTCACTCACAGAATGTCTCGAGTTCAAATCTCGACTGGACCTCTTTTTTTTGGTTTTCCGGCCGGTAAGTGCGTGCGCATACCAAAAACAATTAATACCCAGAGCTCACAGTGAATTCATCAACATCCATCTCAATGGAATGAGAGGTTGAGCGCGTGTTGAGGAAGCGAGAACGTTCATGATGAGATCAGCCCTATACGTATACACACGAAGAGCATTCTCGTCGACTCCGTGTCGCTGGAGGCAGTTCACCAGCCTACAGAGCCTACAGGACTGTATTACCACTGATATCACCAGTGGTTCCCTTGACGAGCGCAAGTTGCTCGATGACTTCAAGGATATCTTCGCATACGCAGAGAAGTCGTCGTTCACAGAGCTCAGTGATCTGCAGAGACTATCACGGAACCTGCTGGAATCGCAAAGATCCCTTGAGCAAGCCACCGTGAAGAATATCATGCTGTTACACCCACCGTCTACTCTAATCGCACCACTGTTAGAATCGTTCAGTGCCATCTCACCTGGCCCAATACCGAAGTCAATTGCCGATATTGCTGTTCGCCGTTGTCTATGGGAAGCCGACATCCAAAACGCCGTCAAAGTTGTCGACCTGACCACTGCCTCCCCACGTTATCTGAAGGCAATGACCCAGAAACGTAACAGTACTGTTCTGAGCGCATTCACAGGGGTAATAGGTGTGGGTGGATTGATGCACTATGGGATAAGCTTGCTGGAACTGCCATCAACAGCTGGTATATTTGCAATGGTTGCCACATACGCTCTGAACATTGGGTTCTTTGGCTACGCTGCCTTTGGTGGTAAGTTTGTCGGGTCAGTTAAAAACATCCAGTGGAAGAACGGTGTACCAATGTCGCACAGATATGTACACGCTGATGAGCTGACACTGCTTTCCAAGATTGCAGAGGCTGATATGAAGATTAATGGCCACGAAGGCTATGTGAGTCCAGGCTTCAAGACTGAGATGGATAAGAGAGGCATCGAGATAATCTTACCAGAAACGGAACTAATGTTGGAAGAGTATTGGTTGACAGGTGGAGAGAACTTCGAATGGGTTGAACCAGATCAAGACCCTGCTGATATAATTTGGAGACAGAACGTGGCAACAAAGAAGCCAAACTTATTGAAAGACGACATCAAATGGACTGACAAGTTTATCCAAGGTGGTGCTGATCAGCAAACACCGAATGATCAACAAGGCACTGCGCCATCAAAGGCATACTGATGGACAATGTTCCTTTTGCTTCAGTTCTTCATTTTGTACATATTATTCAGCAAGATTTATAAGTTACATTGTCTTATTTATTAATCATAAAGTATTATTTATTTACGTGTTCTGTTTTGTATGGCCCATTTTGGCTTCTTTGTTATATACATCATCGTCAGTGTCGTGTACGGATTAGACTGTTTCGTTACCATCGTCAATGATCTCAGCCTTTTTAGAAGAAGGTTTCTTCTCTTCCGCAGAAGATGTGTCGGCTGACTCATTCGCCTCTGACTCGGTACGATTAGGTATGATGTCCAACTCACCGTCTTTAACATCAACGGTTACAGTCTCGTTGTTTCTGATCTGACCTTTCAGCATGTAGATAGCCATTGGATTCAACAATCTCTTTTGAATCAATCTGTTCAAAGGTCTGGCACCGTACAAGCTGTCATAACCATTCTCTGTTAGCCAATCCTTTGCAGCGTCCGTCAAGTTCAATGTGATTCTCTTATCAACCAGTCTTTCTTGAACTTCTTCAAGTCTGATGTCCACAATACTACGAAGAACTTCTTTGGACAATCTGTTGAAAACAAGGATATCATCAATACGGTTGATGAACTCAGGTGGATATAGCCTCTTCATAGCATCGATAACCTTAGTCTTTGTCTCGGCAGACACTTTTCCAGTGTCATTGGAAATCTCAGTATCATGTAACAGGATATCTTGGCCAATGTTAGAAGTCATTACAACGATTGTGTTCTTGAAGTCAACAGCATGTCCTTGAGAATCAGTCAATTTACCTTCATCAAGAACTTGTAAGAGCACCTTGCATACATCTGGATGTGCCTTTTCAAACTCATCGAAAAGAACAACCGAGTATGGCTTTCTTCTAACAGCTTCCGTCAATTGACCACCACTTTCACTCATAACATAACCAGGTGGAGCACCGATTAATCTAGATACAGTGTGCTTCTCTTGGAACTCCGACATATCAAATCTAATGACATTATTAGAGTCATCAAACAAGAATTCAGCCAGTGACTTTGTCAATTCAGTCTTACCTGTACCAGTTGGACCAAGGAACATGAAACTAGCAATTGGTCTCTTGTCACTTGTCAACCCGGCTCTTTGCAATCTCACTGCATCTGAGATCGCATGGATGGCTTCGTCTTGTCCCACAACTCTTTTCTTCAAAGAATCCTCCATGTAAAGCAAACGATCTTTATCGCCCTTTAGGACTGTATCTGTTGGGATACCAGTCATCTTCGAGATAACCTTGGAGATGTCATCGGAAGTGACGGATTCATGGAGCAAAGAATCTGTCTTTGAAGTTTCAGCTTCTTCGCCAATCTTCACTTTCTCTTGTAAATCTGGGATCTTTGCATATCTCAACTCGGATGCTTTTGCATAGTTTCCCTCTCTTTGAGCAATCTCCAAATCCACTTTAGCCTGTTCAAGGTCCTTCTTGGCGTTCTTGATGGCGTTGATCTCAGCCTTTTCCTTCTCCCAAACTTCGGTCAATCTAAAGAGCTCATCATTTTTCAACTTCAGCTCCTCATTAAGCTTGTCACGTCTCTCCACTGAAAGAGGGTCGGTTTCCTTCTTTAGGGATTCAAGTTCAATCTCAATAGTCATGATAGATCTATCCAAAGCCTGGATAGAATCAGGCTTGGATTCGTGTTGCAATCTCAACACCGCACATGCCTCATCAACAAGGTCAATCGCCTTGTCAGGAAGGAATCTATCAGTGATGTAACGGTTCGACAGAGAAGCTGCAGACACCAATGCACCATCTGTGATTCTAACACCATGATGGACCTCATATTTCTCTTTCAAACCTCTCAAAATACTGATAGTATCAGCAACCGAAGGTTCATTGAGCATAATTGGCTGGAATCTTCTCGTCAGAGCAGGATCCTTTTCAATGATCTTGAACTCATCTAAAGTTGTTGCCGAGATACATCTCAGCCCTCTAGCCAATTTTGGCTTCAAGATGTTGGAGGCATCCATTGAACCATCAGTTTTACCCAGTCCAAGAAGCATATGGACTTCATCGATGAAGATGATGATCTCACCGTTAGCCTTGTCAATCTCCTCGAGCACTGACTTCAATCTCTCCTCGAACTCACCTCTAAATTTGGCACCGGCAATCAAGGCACCAAGATCCAACGCGACAAGTTGTTTGTTCTTCAAACTCTCTGGAACCTCGCCTTTCACTATACGCTGAGCCAGACCGTCAATCAAACTCGTCTTACCGACACCAGCACGGCCAATCAGCACAGGATTGTTCTTTGTTCTTCTTGAAAGGATCTGGATTGCCCTTTGAATCTCCTGATCCCTCCCAATAACCGGATCCAGCTTACCCTGTTCAGCCAGCTTGGTCAGATTCGTACCAAACTGCTCAAGAGGCGTCTTCTCAGGCTCCTGTTGTTGACCATTCATGTTCATCTTGAAGTTACCGTTACTGGCAAATCTCACCTGGCCCACCTGTGGTGCCACCAGGCCAGCGGCAAACGGTGTCTTCACACCTCTCACGGTACTCCACGCAGCCAAAGCCCTTGGTGTAACAGTAGAACGACTCAACTGTCTCAGCTCTGTGCGTGCTACGCGCGCTATAGGATTTACCCTTCTTGTAAGCATTGTGTTTGCTCTAGTTTTAACCACGAGTTCCCAAGCAATTGAGCGAAAAATGCGTATACAACTTCCCTTATATATTAGCTACTCATCCATTGCCATTGTTGCCGGGTTTTGTTCTAGAAAGTTGTGGAGTATTCCGGAGCATATGGCCCCTACCGAAAAGTGTGGCCCTACTGAAAAATTCACTACGTACTCCAACATGTCTTCATATGCTTCATTTTGTATGGCGTCATTAAATTAAAATCATAGTGAGAGAGTCCATTAGGTGGTGTTGTTATTAGAGTGCGTTGATTCTTGCTGTTCGTCATCATCTGTGTGAGGATCTGTTGAGCTTTTGTTGGTGTTGGTGTTGTTTTGTTGGACAAAATGGCTCAGTGGTGTGGGATTCGCAGTGTCATGCGCAGTTGATGGAGTATTGCGTAGATAACGATGATCAATGTCAAACTGGGGGTGTTGTGCCTCTATGGATATTCCTGTGTCTTGAGATATGTTGGAGTCCCTGGTCGAGGTTGGGTACATCATTTCGTACAGCTGCACCTGTTCTTCGTTTGTAGAGTCCTTCTTCGCCCTGGGCACGTCTCTGAAGGTCCTGTGGAAGAGATTAACCGGCGATTTCAACGTAGTAACTAAGGAGACAACGTTGATTGTCTTGAAGATATAGTTGCTGTTCCACGACTGGACGTCTGCTGAGTCATCGTTTATGATGTGGAAACTGTCATTGGAGATTTTTCTTCCCAAGACAGTTTTACCCTCGTACCTTGCCTCCAGCGATTTTATCGTGTGTAGCCACTCCCAAATCGTCACAGTGACACAGAGCTTTGAGAATGTGTACACGTACTTGGCCCATGACCTCGTGGAGTTCAGTGCCAGATCTATTGTCATGAAAATAATTGGTGTTGTCAGTGTGACCAAACAAAACACTGCAAGAGCCATCGAATTACGATGGTATGCAAAGCGTCTCTTCAACCAAGAAAACCGCAGCACAAAGAGAGCAAAAGATGCCAGCGTCACGTAGTCCGTTAAGTAGTGCAGTATCTTCAAAGCTCTGAACGTTGGTGTGGGCGAAGGCTCATATGTGTTGCTATAAACAACATAGAATGACGTGCTGAATGCAGAATTCACCACTGACAGGAGTAATCCGACCAAGATGACCTGTTTCTTGTGACTGTGCTTTGTCAGTTGAACCGAAAGGTCGACCCATGACAGCCATATGAGGAAAGTCACTATGGACCGTACAGCCATTAGACCTGGGCTAAAAGTGATGGAGTACTGTATCTCTTGTGTGTCCACAACGTCAAGATCCACTTGCTTCTGCAACAACGAAGTGATCTTCACGAGCATCGCAGTATATGTCCCGCAGAAGAACAAGTTACTCGCCATCAGCGAGTTTGGAATGGAGTTCGACGACAACAGCAACAGCAGAAACAACATCCATCCGGCAGTAACTATGCCACAGAGTACTAGTATTGAAGAAATTGCACCGCCGATAAATGGATCCTTGTTGCTTAGCACATCGCCGCTTATTCGCATCTGCCGCGTCAGGTTCGCCACCAGCTCTTCTGTCGTCAAAGGATACGTGCTGGTGATATTCGTCAGGTAGAAAGACGGACTCGTAATGTCGTAATCTTCCACCTCTGCCATTGACGTTAAAAACCCACTGGTCAGCTCATAAACGTCATAGAGACCATCAAGCGCAGGTAGAGCCTTAACGAGCACGTCTGTGCTGTTCAAGTAGCGTGATCTCATGGTGCTCTATGACACTGTGGCCTGTAGATGGTGTTCTCCTTGAACTCTTGTGTGTGTGTGTGTGTGTGGATGTGTGGATGTGGGCTTTAACGCCAACATTTGTTATGGCTGTCAGCTTTGCTTCCGCACGCCTGCCTGGCTGGGATTTTTATTTACGAGCGCTCGGCTCCTCAGCATTACACCGTCGAGCTCTCTTCGCAAGGCGAAGCGCTACTGCCTGAGCGTACACATCAGGGGCAGCTCACTGGCGAAGTTCAGCTCACGAGCAACACAAAAGCTCAGCAGCGTGGCTTAGGTTCATTACCAGTGCAATTGGAGTACGTATACTCATCCCAAAGCAGGTGGTGCCTAGAAGATTCATGCTACAATTGGCGTATAGAAGCGCTCTACAGTGGGCTTAGCCCGTATGAGACATAGCGATCCACGTGATGTGTAAAGAGTATGCAATTTCTATGTGTGTAGATGGTGGCAAGGGCTCATTGCCTCTTGCTGTTATAGGATCCTCTATAGGAACCTCGTGGTCCGTGGTATTTTCCCCTAGTGGAGCCGTTAGCGGGCTTCGACACTTTGATGCCGCCGATACGTCCTTCTAGCTCACGAACATCAACGTTGACAATGTGGCATCTCATCTTTATGAGGGCATTCAGGTCCTCGTCGGTGTCCTTGACTGCCGTAGGGAAGGATACCCGAACTTCAACGGTATCCCTATGCTTGGAGGTGACCAGCTTTGGTTGTAATTCTCTAATGAACATGAAGTTATTTGCCCCTCTCTTATAGAAAGTCGATGCAAATCCCTCTGGATAAACCTGTGGTTCGATGTAGTTACTCCGGCGTTGTGGCTGGTAGACATCAGCGGTGGAGTCCATGCCGTAATAGTCATGGGAGTTGTAAAGTTGGATAGGTACAGGCCCGCCTGTGTGGAAATGCTCTGGGAACAGCTCATATTCAGTGTGCTGTGTACGATACATGCTGTCTCCACTAATGTGGTCCGTCTGAGTTGGCGAGATGGACTCCTCTGGTGTCTTGACGTCAACATTGGTTTCTAGCTGTAACTGTGAATGTGGCTGTGATTGTAGCTGTGAAATAAAAGGTGATGCTTGGGGCATGTATAGTGGTGATTGCACTGGAGGTGTGGACTCAAACTGTGGTATCTGTGATGGCTTCATGAAAAATGGATCAAACACAGTGGTCACCTGTTGTGGATACTGATCAAACGAAGGATTCTGTTCCACCATGGGAGAAGGGAAAAACCTCGACGTCTTCGATCCACTACGACTCGCAGACTCATACGGGGAGCCGTTGTTGGTGTTGCTCACAGGTGATGGAGACGTCAACGAATCGTCAAGGTTCAGACTTTCAATGTCAAAAGGTGACCAGGGTATTGCAGAATCACTCTTTGTTGACAAGCTTCGGTCCTCCGTATTCCATATATTCGGCGAGCTCCAGTTTCTCTGCTCAACGAGTGTATTGGCCCTAGGCTCAGAGACTCTAAAGTCGGTGAATAGACGAGATTGGGACTCTGTCGGTTTTGAAAGGGGAGACCTTGTTAAAGACGGGAACGAAGGTGCACCACCATGACTTTTTCTGAAACTGGAGAGCTTTGAGTTCGGCGAGACCCAAGAAGAGTCACCAGAGTATGTCGAGACCCTATCTAGCTGAAGCTTTGTCGCACCAGAGTTCTCGGAATTGATACGCCCTGGCAAGTCTGTCCAACTCTTGTCCTCTGAAGACTTCAGCAACGTATATGGCTCGCTCTCTTCGTCTGTGCATTGTAACTGAGGAGATTCCGACGCTGAATGAGTGACATTGGATGCTGATTCTCTATACTGTGCCTCTGGAGCCAGCGGCTGCTGTACGCTATTAGCCTCTCCAAAGTGGCTGGTCGGATCAACAGTCCCGTTTTCAACGTTAACCCTTGCTATCGACGAGCCAGATGATGAAGACTTCCTGCTTGTCAGCACTACCGTCCTACCCTTCTTCGACAACAATTTCAGTTTGGTCCCACCGCCACCGTTCACGGACACCTTCCTCTTCACCACGTCCTCCTTCTGTGCCTCTGCAACATGGGCCTGTTGTCTAAACAGGTTGTTTACCGACTGTGACTTGAACTGCTTCTTGGGCTTGTCGAGGTCCATTGCTTCTTTCAGTATATGGTCAGCTCACGAACGGATTCAGTGTCGTTTCCGATCGCTTTGCAAGGGAAAATGGCAAGCAGAGCAATACTGGAAACCATACAACTGATTAATCCCCCCTCCATTATAAGCTAAACAGCAAAGCGCTGAGGAAAAGTTTTGATCACAGCTAAACTCATCACGTGACACGCTGACATAAGCGATTACCTAATATCACAAAGACCGAACATCTTTTGTAAAGGGGCACACCGATGGTTTCCCTCGATACACAAAGACGCACAGTGCGCATCTCAAACTCGGCTTTGTTTCTGCTTTGTTTCTGCTTTGTGTCTGCTTCACCTGTTCTGTTTACCCGGTTACTGAAGCTTCAAGTCTGAGTGGCACTCGGTGGCGCTGTGTTTGTGTACGACTCTCCATGTTGATGATTCGTCTGTGGCATTTGTGACTCTCTTTAAGGAAATAGATATCTAACATCAGCAAAAGCGTTGGAAGCGGTGATTGGCTTCCTAGGGCTTGATTACAGAGGGGCTTACGCTTACAGTTCATCTGTTCTTTCTTTCGGTGTTGTATAGAGCAAAGAGTGCGTGTAATCTGGCGTCTTTCATATACTGCATCATGTTTTTCTACTGGATGTGCGTCTTTTCGGCGTGTTTACTGTTTTGGAAGGCAGACGCCCACAGATTGAGACCGAGGGCCAACTCTACCCCTGTTGAAGAACAGATTTGGGACTATAATACCAATAAGGTGAGAGGAGTGTCGCTTGGGGGATGGTTTGTGCTTGAGCCGTATATCACGCCGTCGCTATTTGAAGCGTTTGGGTCTGATGAGTCCAAAATCCCCGTTGATGAGTACACTTTCTGTCAACAGTTGGGCAGGGAAGAGGCCAAGAGAAGGCTAGAAAAGCATTGGTCAGAGTACTATACCGAACAGGACTTCATCGACATTAAGAATCTCGGCTTGAACTTGGTTAGGATTCCTGTTGGTTACTGGGCTTTCCAATTGCTCGATAATGATCCTTATGTTCAAGGACAAGAAAAGTACATTGATCAATCGATCCAGTGGGCCAAGAACCAAGGGTTAAAGGTTTGGTTTGATTTACACGGTGTTCCTGGTTCGCAGAACGGGTTTGACAACTCTGGTAAGCGTGGTACAATTGGCTGGCAGCACTCCGAAACCAATCTGGAGGTCACACAAAACACATTGGACTATATTTTTGGGAAGTATGGCCAGGAACAGTTCCAGGATACTGTGATTGGTATCGAGATTGTGAATGAACCAATGATGTCTTCTTTAAACATCACTGGTGTGCTACAGTTCACATATGACAGCTATGACCGCTTCAGAAACAAATACAACTCACAGAATTGGTTTTTGGTGCAGGAGGGTTTCATGAGCATTGGGTATTGGAATGAGCACCTTAACAACGACTTCCAAAACGTTAGTCGAAAGTACACTTCGAAAAATGGCCTTTACAACACTACTGTCCTAGACTTCCATGGCGTCGTTATAGACCATCATCATTATGAAGTGTTCACCACGGGACAACTTGCTAAAAGTTCTGAAGAGCGCATTAATGACATTAGAAACTATGCGAAGGCTGTTGAGCTAGAACAGAGCTACCATCCTTCGTTGATTGGAGAATGGTCGGGCGCAATCACAGATTGCGCCAAATGGTTGAATGGAGTTGGCACAGGTGCGAGATATGACGGAACGTTTAGTTCCGACCAGCTACTTAGATCTGGGAATCAAAGCATGAGCAGACTCATACGTCGTGACGATGCGACCAAATCTTGCTCCAACGTGGCAACGTACAAGCAGATGTCTCAGAGCCACAAGGATGAGATACGAAAGTTCAACGAGATCCAGCTCATATCCTACGAGGCGAACACTGCAGGGTGGATCTTTTGGAACTACAAGACCGAGGATGCCATCGAATGGGACCTTCGAGGGTTGATCGACAAGAAGATGTTTCCTCATCCATTTGACGACTTCAAGTACTTCACCAAAGTTGATGGCGAGTTTGTTGCCAAAAACGGTGCAACGGCGGATTCTGCGCCCTGGACCGCATTTCCACTACTTGCAGTATCGGTGTTGGCAATGACTGTGTTTGGTTGCTTCGTATAAACCGGAAAGTACTACGATAACGAAGAGCATCTTTGATGCTCTGCGAGTCTACAGATTGAGTTTAGATGCTCGCCGATCCCATGATGATGTTTTTCATGCCATTCTGCGCCATTTCGTGCCATTCTGCGCCATTTCGTGCCATTCTATATCTTTTCATGCCATTTTACGTCACTACGCCAGTTCTAAAATTAGATCCGCCAGCACAAAGCCAACCCCATAGCGCGCTGTTTCGTAAAGTCTACGCCAAAGATTTGCGCAAAGCATCAACTTTACGCCCAAAACGCACCGCCAGGGCTTGCAAGTTTTTCGCTTTTTCACCCTTCCTTGGCCTCTTTTGCGCGCCTTTTTGCGAGCGTGCGCGTATCTTCTCTTCACCCTGTTTGATCTCACAATCTCACCTTTCCATAGGCAAAATTGGCTACTTATTTTTAGTTTTATAGCTATAGTTCCCGTCACGTCCACTGTTGTGAAGAAGTTTCGCAATTCCCAATCCTCCCCCCTCGTTCCAACAGCTTTCCGATACCGTCAAAGCGTCCTGGTCATCATCGCTGACAGCACTTGATTCCACTTTAGGTAATAAGTTTCGTGCGCTTTTTCAAACTTTTTCTGGGCCCGCAAGTAGCTCCTTCAGCTTCGCTGGGTATTAAATCACAACGTTGACGATTCATAGGGGCTGGGTGTTTTACATATCACAAAGTACTGAGCATCTCCATACACTGTGTGCCACTGATTGAAGGGAACACAGCATTAGCAGAGGAAAGGACGAGCGAGAAGGAAGAGGACACTGTTTGTCATAATCGCACTATATTATATAACACTCAAGCATGCGATTCGAGGTATCGTTGAGGGCGCTGATGGTGCCAATGTTCTTGGCCCAGCAGGCACTGTCGATAGATCTGGATGTTGATTCCGAGACGAGTATCTGTGATGCGTCTGCTCTGGTCATCGGCGGTGTTATGGACTACTACCAAGGTACACGTTACGGTGGTACCGTTGGTATGTTCCAAGACCCGTACTACTGGTGGGAAGCCGGAGAGGCCATGGGCTCGATGTTGGGGTTCTGGTACTTCTGCAACAACGACACGTATGAAGCCGTGATTTACGATGCGCTCATGGCGCAGAGAGGTAACAATAACGACTACATTCCTTCAAACCAGTCTATGACGGAAGGTAACGATGATCAAGGCTTTTGGGGGCTTGCCGTGATGGAGGCAACAGAGCGTAACTTCACCAACCCGCCATCCGACCAACCAGGTTGGCTGGCACTGACACAGGCCGTGTTCAACACCATGTGGGCTAGATGGGATGACCAGTACTGCGGTGGAGGACTGAGATGGCAGATCTTCACCTGGAACTCCGGTTACACGTATAAGAACACCATCTCCACTGCTTGTATGATTGCCATAGGCGCCAGACTTGGAAGGTACACTGGCAACACCACTTATATCGATATTGCCAACGAGGCCTTCGAGTGGCTCGAGAACATAGGCTTCGTCTCCATCTCCGATGGCTCTGCCCGTGTCTACGATGGTGCCAGTATCACTGATAACTGTTCTTCGATCACAGGGCTGGAGTGGACGTACAACATTGGTCTGCTCATGGCTGGTTCTGCCTATGCGTACAACGCCACTGAGGATGATCTCTGGCTCCAAAGAACAGAAGCATTGGTCCAAGGTGCCTCGGTCTTCTTCGTGGACGATATCATGTATGAACGTGCTTGTCAGGGAACCTCATCCGGTTGTAATACTGATCAGCGTTCCTTCAAGTCTATCTTTTCCCGTTGTTTGGGCCAAACAGCAGTTATGGCGCCAACTACGTACAACACCATCTATACGTGGCTAGTTGCGTCCGCCGAGGGCGCTGCTAAGTCGTGTACTGGTGGTTACGATGGACACACGTGTGGATTGAACTGGCAACTGGGCTCCAATGATGGTAATTATGGGTTGGGAGAACAAATATCCGCACTGGAGGTGTTTGACAACCTACTCATCAAGGACAGACCAGCTCCTTATACAAACGAAACAGGCGGTACGTCCGAAGGTGATGCCAGCGCAGGAACAAGTTCAACCACAACACAGCTGGATACCGCTGCCCTGAATATCACAGGTGGTGATAAGGCTGGTGCCGGTATCATCACTGCTATTGTGCTTGCTGTCATCATTGCCGGGTGCGTATGGATGGTGATATGATCGTCAATAGTAGCCAGCACACACTTTTGAGCGTGATGTCTACCACCAAGAGGACTGTGTCCGTGTGTATGTATGTCTTTTCTATTCATATATGTTTTGCTCTTTCCCCGTTATTCCATTTGCCCATCAAGAATTTGATTTTGACCTTGCTTTAGCTGTAGATCCTCATAGTGTGTACATCAACTCCCCGAAACCGGAGCCAGGGAATCTTCCTCGCCCAGGTTGCTAATACATCATCACCAACAAGGATGCAACGGCTAATGGCGCTTCGGGACCAGTTGATTCCCTTCTACAAGAAGACGATGAGTTTCAAAGTCATTTATCACACCCATTCGCCGGTCATTTCCCCTTCTACAAGGAGACTCTGTATCCTGGACTCGTCATTCAATCCACCACACCTGGGCCACTACGCACTGGTAAACAAGTCCATCACGTATCCATACCATGGCCAGGTGATGCCAAAGGACTCTGTGGGCGTGCTGCTCATGTTCAGTGTCAACAACTGTGATAAGAAGACCCCCAAACCAGCTCCCATTGAGCACCGTGTGCAGATGATGTGCCTGTTGGCAGATCACATCAAGCAGGAGATGGATGTTCCTGTGTACGTCATCGTCACTGACCAGCCGATATTTGCTGACAAGTCTGTACAGGTTCAGCAGTGGATTAAGCAGACCGCTGGTGTCGTGGAAGGGTTGCGGTTGACGTTCCTCCTAGGATTCGATACGCTAGTGAGGGTGTTTGATAACAAGTACTACGCGCCAACACCCACAACGGTGGCGTTAGAAGGGTTCATGAGGCATAACGATCTCTTTGCACTTACACGTGACGACGACAAGCAGTATTCTCTGGAGCAACAGTTGAGCTACGTGGACAATATAAGATCTGGCAAGAACAAAGACTGTCTTCCAGAGTGGAGTGAGCGCATCTTCATAGGTGAAGGTGATCCTTCCTTGCTCAAGGTCTCATCTTCAAGAATAAGGGCATTGATCGAGAGCGGTGATACTACTTGGCAAACAGAGACCATACCGTCAATTGTTGAGTTTATTCACGAGAGCAAGCCCTACGAGTAATGGCGAGCCACATTATTATAGATCTACATAGACTAGCCCTCATAGTTCAATCCATCGTTCCAGAAGTTCACCTCAAGGAGGCACACATCGCTGAAGATCTTGATGAGCCTAGCGGCCTTCTCGTAGCTGATGCCCACTGCGTGCCTCTCCAAGCTGGTCTCTCCTTTCTGCACAGCATCGTAGTACCAATCTGAGGTGTACGTCTCCATCCACTGGACGTACTTTGGAATGTCAGTGGTGACGGGGAAGTTGGACGTTGCCCTGTAGTATCCAAGGAGGCATGGCGACATGGCGACGCTGATCTCCAGCCAATCACCGCCTTCAGCAACCTTACGCAGATAAGCTGTGTACTCCTTGCACGCGTCGCTCATCTGTAATGACAAGGAGTCAAAGTTCGTCACTCCCTGGTCCTTCAGCGTCTCAGCATGGCTTGACATCTCCTTGGTGACGCCGTTCAGGATCTCGATCTGACGCGTCATACAATCGAGGTCTGGTGCAAGCGAGCACAGCACCGCGTGGATCTTTGCGTAGTTGACCAGGTAAGGGTAGTCCTGAGAGATGTATCTCACGAACTTGTGCATTGGCAGAGTGCCATTGGCCACCTTCTCGACAAACGGATGGTTGATGTACTGGTTCCAGACGGGCTTAACCATTGGATGGGACAACAGGTAGTCGACAAACCCGCCCTCGACAAACACTGCTCCTGTTCCATGTTTGAAACAAGGTGAAGCTATATGGTACACGTAGTTTACAGGGCCATTACCATGGCCAATCTTGGATGCTGAGTTTATGGCACCTTGTACGTAGCGAATACCATTCTCCACGGAGTCTTCTATGGATAGACCAGACGCGATGTTGGACGCTATGGCGGACGCCAGTGTACAGCCAGTTCCGTGTGTGTTCTCAGTCTCAACGTACTCAGATCTGAACACAATTGTTGACTCAGTGGCGGAGATGTAGAGCACATCTGTCACGTATCTCTTGTCACTGCCTGCGCAGGTCCATGGACAATGGCCTCCTTTCAACAGCACATTCTTGGCCTGTGTGTGCTGCTGAATGAGCACCGCGTACATCTTCAAGTCCTCGACGCCAGAGACCTTGGCCTCGATGTCGAACAGCCTGAGGATCTTCGTGGCCTCCTCAAGATTGGGTGTCACCAAGGTGACACCTCTGATGAGCTTCTCCAGCGCGAGCTTCAATACCTCGATCTTCGCCAACGTTGTCCCTGACGTGGAAACCATCACCGGGTCTATCACCACGGGCTTGCCCCTGTGGTGTGACTGCACAAACCTCGACAGGATCTCGATGGCATCCTCAGTCAGCATCCCGGTCTTGATGACATCAACCTCCACGTCGTCGAAAATGGACTGGAAGATCGACTCCAGGGCCTCTGGCCTGGTGAACTCGACACCGTTGACACCCTGTGTGTTCTGCATAGTCAATGCTGCTATAGCAGTCAGTCCATAGCATCCATGTGCTGTGATGGTCTTTAGATCGGCCTCGGTGCCGGCTCCTCCACTGCAGTCAGAGCCAGCAACGGTTAACACCGTCGGTAGCGAGGCCTTCACTGTAGGCGCATTAGCAATCTCCACCTCTCTCGTAGCCATGATACTCAATTGAACGGTCTTTCAGTGGTGATTGTCATCAAAACATCGTGATGGGACATTGAGAGGGTCAAAGCTCCCGCTAATAAATACTTTTTGGCGGAGATGCCTCCCTCGCACGGGCTGTCCGGTGTGTATGCGCTTATGTTGATTTTTACACCATAAGGTGGTCTCTCACATGGCTGGCAAGAGTTGAAGTAGCATAGTTAAGGTAGCACGGTTTATGAGTCGTATATAGGCAATCTTCAAAGCACAACATGATGGACGCGGGCGCTATAACGGGTTAAACATAATAGATTTACAATGGCAGAATAGAAAATCCTCTCCATATATTCTTAAATAACAAATAAAAAAATGCATTTCACTCTTTAATATCCTCCCCATGATTTATACACAAGCTTCCATCGTTACGCTGACAGCTGTGCGATACAACTCCCGCACGGCCTTGTCTGATATAACGGTGAAGTAAGGGTGGGAAAGCTAAGAGGTTCGAAAGGGAAGAGAAAGATCGTGCTTGCTTGTAATGTGGTGATTTGTTTTTTTGTTTATTTTAGACTCATATAATCTTGTACTGTGAATGTGAAAGAGGCTGCTCCTCGCTCCTTGTAGCCTCAACGTGCCATCGCTCGCCATGAAGGAGCTTATTTGGCAACCTCAACGTTGTCCAGCTCAACTCTCTCAGCAGCCTCGGCCTCAAGTTCCAACAAGTATGGCAACAAGTACGGAGTGTCCTCGGATGGCTTAAGAGCCTTGTCGGCGGAAAGCAAGTGGTGGGTGATACCGCACTGAGCAGCAGTCAGCATTCTGAAGTTTCTGGCGTAGATCTCGTCCTTTGGCAATCTGGAAAGCGCCTTCTGAACGGTTGGGTTCTCCTCGTGGATCAAGTCGTCAAACTTGAGGCCGAGCTGGCGGTAGCCAGAGTAAGCGCAGAACAACTTGGCGGCTGGCACGAAGATGGATCTAAGCGCTGGGGTACGCAGGATGAAGTCACCGGCCTTGACGATGGAGGTGTGGGAAGCCATTGTTTTTGTCTTGAATGGGTTTGTTGATGTAAAACTGTGCTCTTCTATTAGGCCAGTTCGCTTTTTTTATCGTGGTTTTTTTTCTCTGCCCTTGCTTTGGTACATCGGGGGCTCCCGCACTAAGAGAGCTTCGCGATTTGTTTTTCCCGCTGTTTCATTGGCCGCGGCGACCCTGCGGTTACCCGGCCGCGAGGTCTCTTGTTGTGGAAGTTCTGCCGTTTTCGGGATGTTCCAAAAATGTGTATGACGGATGCTAATTCCGACAGCATCGCCAGAACAATTCCGATGGTGGGAGGGACGTCCTCTCCCACCTGTTGATGCTTGTTCAGCCCAGTGGACGGCCATATGCTGAGGTTATCGAGGTGTTTCACCACCTACAGAGCTCTTGGAGGACATGAGAACCCATTGGTAAGTTTCTGGTTTGGGACTCTGGAGATACGTGGTGGACTAACGCACTGTTAGGGCTTACCAGGAAGATCTAAACGGTCGTCTGGTTTACCGGTAAGACAGAGGATTCCCGGTGTTGGCAAGGTTCTGCTGGTGTCCTCTGGCAAAGGCGGTGTTGGGAAGTCAACGATGAGTGTAAACCTGGCGTTGGCGATGTCCCAGCTGGGCCAGAGAGTTGGGATATTGGATGCAGACGTGTTCGGACCTTCTTTGCCAACGTTGGTGAATCTGTCTGGCGAGCCACGTATCAACTCCAAGGGCCAGTTGATCCCGCTGGTGAACTATGGTGTTCAGACCATGTCAATGGGCTATCTGATTAAGCAGGACAACCCCGTGGTTTGGCGAGGGCTGATGGTGATGAAGGCCATGCAGCAGTTGCTATTTGAGGTTGCCTGGGATAACGTGGACGTTCTCGTGGTAGACATGCCCCCAGGCACTGGTGACACACAGCTGAGTATAGGCCAGCAGGTTAAGATTGATGGCTCCATCATCGTCTCCACGCCACAGGATATTGCACTCATCGACGCGGTCAAGGGCGTGTCGATGTTTGAGAAGATGAGAATACCCATCCTGGGGCTGGTGCAGAACATGGCGTACTACCACTGTCCCAACTGCCACCACGAAGACCACATCTTCGGGCCTATCGATGGTGCTATAAAGATGGCTGAGAAGAAGGGACTACGCACGCTGGGCTCAATCCCTCTAAACAGCGAGATCTGTGCCCAAAGCGACAAGGGCAAGCCAATTGTGCTGAACAAGGAGCACACACAGGTATCAAAACCGTACTTTGACATATCCAAAGAGGTGTTACAATTGCTCAAACTGTGAAGCAACACGTGTCGCCTGTGAATACTCTGGCCCAGCAATGCTTCACTACCAGCATATATATATGTATATATACATATAAACGGTGATCTTTGTGTCACTTCATCCGTGCTCAGCTATACAGCGTACTATCTTTGTGTTCATGAAACAGTTGTTTACATCCATGTGGATACTCACAAGCAGAAGGAATACACTCATCACTTAGCACACCTAACTAGTCTGTTCCACTTGCTACTGAACTGGGTGGATTCTTGTTGATTCTGTTGATTCCGTTGTGTCTTGATGATGAAGTATAGCAGAGTGTTGTTGATGTTGACTGTGATGCACACGGTATTCGTACGTGGGCTCTATCCGAATGGTGAAGAGAGCTTGGTGCCAGCTGATTTCCGCTCTTTAAACACAGAGGACGGTGTCCTGTACCGTGTTGAAGCCTCTCGGGATGAGCTGCTGAGGCTGGGTCTTCTTGAAGGACTGTTTGATCCTCCTAATACGAACGTTGACGTTGACATTGGCCTTGACAGTGACTCTCTCAGAAACGGTGCGTTGATGAGCAGCGTATCAAAACTTGCACTTGGTACTCCACAAGGAGCATTGACGGCTGAAAGGGATGATATTCTACTGGAGGAGGTCCGTGCCCTTGAGAGACCTTCAAAGGTTCACCTTGTGATTACGCTTACCACGACTTCTACGACATATGTTGAAGAGACGAGGCCATTGGACGCAGTTGAAGCTGAAACGACGGTCACGGTGACTTCGACAGAGATCCAGCAGTCTACACTGTTACTGTCTATGAGTCTGTCTGTTAGCTCACAGTTTGATGATGTACCAGAAGTACCTCTCCAAGAGGCTGCAATATTGCACAATTCAGAATCACAACTGGTTCCCTTGACTGCCAATGGGATACGGGAAATATTCAAAGAGACTCTATTGAGTCTAAAAGATGAGATTTCAAAGAAGTTTGCAAACAACAGTAACAGAGATGACCGTGATGAAGTGCCTCCAGATCCCTTGCCACAACCTACTCTCACTGATGAGCCTACTCCAGGTGAGTCAGAACAACTCGATGTGAACGATATTCACAGCTTCATCAAGGAACTCATACGTACTGTTAACAACAATGTTCCGCAGTCCACTATAGAAGATAATGGTCTTTCAGCTCCAGCATTGGAGGAACCACCTGCTTCAGCTCTTCAAGAGGACTCTGAGCTTGTGGATGAAGTTGAGCAGAACCAAAATCTCATAGAACTGTATGGACTCGGTGACCGTGATCTCAAGGAGATCGAGAAGTACGAAAAGTTCCTCTCTCTTTCAAGGTTCAAAGACCTTCCTGAGGATATCATCACCGATATTATCGACTTTGTGCGTGCTAAGGATAAACACCAGTTCATTGATAACTTTAGGCATCGTCCCTTCTTGAAGGGTATTGCAATTGATGTTACAAGCACCGATGGTGGCTCTCCAAGTGATGACGATGACTCCAAAGGTGACGATAATGATGGCATCAATGGGATCTCTGATTTTGAAGAAATACAGCAGGATTCCCCTCCAGTGAGCTCAGAACAAGAATTGAATGCTAATGGTCTTCTCAGCTCTATCTTGGAGAGCCAGATCTCCTCCAAAGAAGGGTCATCTGGAAAGAAGGCATCGGGTAAGAAGAAGAAGTTGAAGAAACCCCCAAGAAGTCTCATGGGCTCACTGGAACAACGTGCTATCCCCAATAAATTGAAATCAGAAGACAGAGATCGTACTGATGAAGGCTTTACGTCGCTTGATCAAAAGTTTACAACCAAGTTCAACAGAAATAAGAAGAAGGTACTGAAATCGAAGAAGAAAGCACCTCCAATTTATGATAATGTTGATGCAGAAGAACAGCAGGACGACTTCTATAACCCTGAAGCTGAGTTGTTTGATGGCTTTCCGAAACAAGCTAACAAGGAAGGTCGCCATGGAATGACCTCAGGCACAAATCATAACATTCATTTCGAAAGAAATAACGTGAAGGCTTTGGCTGTTGAGGAGTCCATAGACTCCCACAACTTGGACATCACTGAAGTTGAGCCACCATCTCAATTGGCCAACGGAACAGTATCCGATGCCACCACAAGCACGAGTCCACATCCATCACAGCCCACCAGAGAAGCCTTGGAGGATCCCTCACTTGAGGAGAGCTACAGCCTTGAAGGGAATACTGGTCGTTCCGATAATCATCACAAGTATATGGGTGTCCTTCAGAGAGAGCAATTGGAAACCAAGGCGAAAGCGAAACTGAAACAGCGAGACAGCATCATGAGGAACCCGTCGTTGTTATTCGACAAGGCCAACTCAGGCTCTAACAAGGGTAAAACACCAAACGTTGGTGGCCATTATAAGGGTGAATTCTTTGATTTCACTTCAAAGTCTACGAGCCTCAGAGCTGGAGTCTTCCACCATGTTGGGCTGATTCTTTGTAGCTTCACCCTACTTTTCTTCCTATTGGCTTGACAATATCATCTCACTTATACTACGAGCATTCTGTCTCATGTTGTAGAAGGCTGTCCATACGCGTGATTCCCTCTGACGTGGTGAAGACGCGTAGAGAGCGTACGCGTCGCAATCAGAACGCGAAAACCACTGTAAATTTTTTCTCTTGATGATAGTCTCTTTAGCGTCTCTTTTAGCCGTTGAAGGAGGTAACCACTGGCTAATCAAGACAATACTAAGATGTCACTGTGGGTTGATAAGTACAGACCGTCGACACTGTCCCAATTGGACTATCACCAGGATGTTTCGAAGCGTCTCGAGGCGTTGGCCTCGTCTGGAGACTTCCCCCATCTGCTGGTGTACGGACCGTCTGGTGCTGGTAAGAAGACCCGTGTCTTGGTGCTTCTACGTGAACTGTTTGGTGCCGGTGTTGAAAAGATGAAGATCGACGTCCGTACGTTCCAATTGAACTCGAGAAAGCTCGAGTTCAACGTTGTTTCTTCGCCATATCACCTGGAGATCACACCCAGTGACCTTGGCAACAACGACCGTGTTGTCATTCAGGACCTGTTGAAAGAAGTCGCACAGACAGAGCAGGTGGACTTCTCTGGAAAGCACAGGTTCAAAGTTGTGGTGATCAACGAAGCTGAGTCGCTAAGCAGAGATGCACAGGCTGCCCTGCGTCGCACCATGGAGAAGTACTCGAAGAACATCAGGCTGGTTTTGATCTCCAACACAACTTCCAACATCATCGCCCCCATCAGATCGAGAACATTGCTCATAAGGATTGCCTCTCCACATGTTGATGACATCGTGGGTGTCCTGGACACCCTGTGTACCAAACAACAGGTTAGCATCGCAGACGATAGAACTGAAGTGCTGCAACGTATAGCGTTGCAGTCGAAGAGAAACCTCCGCAGGGCACTACTTCTCGTCGAGGCACTGGCGATGCAAAACGAGACACTCACCAAGAGCACACCGATGATCGAGCTTGACTGGGAAAGCGTGATAAAGAGACTTGCACGGGACATCTACAAGGACCGTACGGTCTCGAGAATCTCTCAGTGTAGAACCGTGTGCTACGAGCTAATCTCCCATTGTATACCACCAAGGATCATCTTGAAGACATTGGCATTTGAACTGCTGCACTTGGTGCAGCATACCAAGCAACAAGAAGCCATCATTGAAACAGCTGCGGTTTTCGATGAGAGGTTAAGCCTGGGAACCAAATCAATCTATCACCTTGAAGGGTTCATCGCAAAGTCAATGGTTGTCATTGAGACTCTATGAGGAGCAAACCTTTGAGGAGCAAAGTCCAATCACCGTCTGACTACCTTTGTATGTGTGGTGTAACGGTATATACATGAAAAGGTGTATTATATACTACTAATGGTGTGCGATGGCCTTGTTTGTACAGTGTTCTAACGACCTCTGTAGATCTTGTAGATGTCCTCTTTGGCCTTCTGCTTGTTCGCCCAGGCCTTTGTCGGGTTTCTCTTGGCCTCTTCAAAGTGATTCACCTGCTTCTCCTCCTCTTGGAAGGCTCTCAAGCTGATTCTCACGGGCGAGTCCCTTGTGATGAACTCGTACTGGCCTGGCAGCTTATCAGCAGCACGTCTCATGGCCTCTCTGGCAACCTGTTCGTGGAGGTTTTCACCGCCACACTCAAACAGAACCTTGCCGGTAGGCACTCTGGCCATCCAGTGGTCAAAGGCACCTTTACCTTTACCCATTCTGGTCTCGTTACCCTTGATGGCGACACCAATGCTCGTCGACAGACGTCTCCACAGCTTCCCTCCGTTCGCTCTCATCAGCTTCATGATGATGTTATCAGCCTCCTTCAGGTGGATCGCCTTGAGCCGTGTGCCCTCACTCTTCAGACGCAGCCCATACGTGCCAAACTTCAGCGTGTTGCCCTTTGTAGAGCCACCAGTACGCACTGGCACCCTTCCCTTCTGAGCCTTTCTAATCTGCTTGAACCTTGGGGCGTACTCGTGGGAGAAACGCTTACCCACGGAGAGAGGCTGCACAGGGAGCTGAGGTCTGAGCAGTGAGCTCTTCACCAAGTTCAATCCACACGAGAACATCTTGACTGGTTGGTTTGGGTGTGTTTGCTTCGTCCTTTCACCGTGTTTTGTTGACAAAATGAGCTCTTCGTCCACTCAAATTTTGCAACCGGTGGTGCTTTTCGCGAGATCCGGTGCGCCTGGACGGTGAGTAGCGCAATTCCGACCGTGGTTGGGATATTCCGATATGTTAGTAATTCCGATGTACATATTCCGTGTTCAATATTTCCGGTACACCCATTCCGATCTCGCAGTATTCCGATAACGCGGTTCCGAGCCCCCATAATTCCGAGCCTCCCACCCACCATGGCCACATCTCTCCAACTCTCGAGAACCTTTTCACCATCTCTTCACCCATTGAAGCGTTCTGATTCTGAGCAGCAAACCCCCATCAATCGACACGATGAGCGTTGTTAGAGCAAGAGCATCACAGCTCGTGAGACTATGTGCTCGTCTGTCTCACACAAGTGAGTGCTTTCCCCTGGCCCGTCCTTCTGCTGGCATACAGTAATACTAACAATACTCCACCATTGGAACCAAACAGAAGCACAAGCTCCAGAGACCGTGACTGTGTGCGGGCAGACGTACAAGACCGACGAATGGACGAACATCACCCCCTCGATCATTGCGCTGAGTGATCGCTCGTTACACTTGAAACCAAACCATCCAATTGGAATCCTGAGAAGCCTCATTGAAAACCGTTTCCAGGGCTTGGGCTATACCTACTACAACAACTTCAAACCTGTTGTGTCCACGTATGAGAACTTTGACTCTCTGGGCTTCCCCAAGGATCACCCTGGTCGTTCGAAAACAGACACTTATTACATCAACGAGTCGACTCTTCTCCGGACACACACCTCTGCTCATGAGCGTGAATGCTTCACACAGTGTGAAACACCGGGCTACTTCATCTCTGCTGACGTCTATAGAAGGGACGAGATCGACAGAACACACTACCCTGCCTTCCACCAGATGGAGGGTGGTAGAATCTGGCGACGTGATGACTTTGCCAGCGAGCAAGAGCTCCTGAACAAGCTCCAGCACGATATTGATGCCATTCCTGATATCGACATCATCGTCGAAGACACTCCTAACCAATTCAATGAGGGTAATCCTAAACAGGACTACATGACTGACCGTGAGACTGAGCTCGTGGCGCAACACCTGAAGAGAACAATCCAGCTGTTGGTGAACGAGGTGTTCAACGAGGCCAAGAAGTCTGCAAAGCTCAGTGGCAGCGATGAGCCCTATCTCAACGAGCCTTTGAAGGTGAGATGGGTTGAGGCCTACTTCCCATGGACTGCTCCAAGTTGGGAAATCGAGGTGTGGTGGAAAGGCGAGTGGCTCGAATGCTGTGGATGTGGTGTTGTTAGACAGCAAGTGTTGACGAACTCTGGAATTGAAAACACCATTGGATGGGCTTTTGGTATTGGATTGGATAGAATTGCAATGCTCCTCTTTGGCATTCCAGATATCAGACTGTTCTGGACTTTGGATGAGCGTTTCCACAACCAATTCGAGCAGGGCAAGATCACAACCTTCAAGCCATACTCCAAATACCCAGGAACCGTAAGAGACGTTGCATTTTGGGTGCCATCCGTGGATGAGAAGGTCCACATCAACGACATCATGGAGATTGTGAGAAACATCGGTGGTGACCTTGTTGAAAGCGTGACTCTGATTGACGAATTCACTCATCCAAAGACCGGTAGAAACTCGCAGTGCTACAGAATCAACTACCAGTCGATGGATAGAAACGTCACCAATGAAGAGGTCAACGTGCTACAAGACACTGTCCGTGACACCATCAAGGATAAGTTCAATGTGGAATTGCGTTGATCATCACTCATATCCTTTATTACAGCAAGTATATAGACAGAAGGCAGTGGAGAGAAATCATGTAAATACACAGTTACTATTTGCCAACTATACCTCTGAAGAAATCTTCAAATGTTTCAAACTTGTCCACGTCTAAGAGCTCATCCAGCTCACCTGATTTCATAGCAGTTAAGCCACTGTGGTCCAGGGAGGAGTTGCGTGACGAAAGACGGATATCACTCGTGTACTCATGGCTGATTTCATCGTGAAGTGGCTTGTAGTCCATTTCAAACTCCTTTAGATTGTCAGGCAGAGCCAAGGGGTCCGTTGAATTGGAGGCACTCGGCTCATTAGCCGTGTTGACGATACGAACATCAACCAGTGTCTTGATGATTTGGCCCACGGTATCAGTAGCATCGTTTTTGGTCTCTCCAACGTGGTTCAAATGCCAGTAGACACGAGACACGAGGTTCAGAGACCTCATGTTGAACTGAGTCTCGAATTTGCCCTGGAAGTCGTATAGAGTCAGGCATGAATACACAACCTCGTTGAGAAGCGAGCAAGGTGATCCTTTAACCATAGACTTGGGCAGCTGTAAAAACCTGTTGAGTATTGCCCTTGAGTAATGGACAGCTGTGTTGTATGCCACGTTGATGTACGTGATGACTTTATAGTCCCTTACGCCCTTGAAGGATGCAATGAACCTTCTGGATAGAATGATGTGATAGAAATCATAATTGAAGAGTAGAGTCCCTGAGAGATCGTTATCGATTAATTCCTTCCACCGATTTCTCCAATCGTGAAGTTCCTTGAAGCTGAAGCATTTCACTCCTTCAATGTTGGCAATCTGTTCATCTCTGATCAGATTGCTTATCAGATCTTTGGAATAAAACATCTTATGGACTTCTCTTGCCAATCTGACCAGTGCAGCGTTGACGTTATCCTCCAAGTTACTCCATGGATAATCTATGACTCTATCACAGATGTCCATATAGTCCTTTGAGATGAGACTCGGTCTGCCATTCCCTATGGAGCATTGTAAATGACATATACAGAGTAAAGTCCATATTCTCAAATGAAATAGATCACTCTGCTTGTACTCTCTTGATTTGCATCGATCTTCAATCTTTTGGAAGCTGGTACAGTACATCATCTGCTTGATTCCATCACTGGAGACCATCCAGTTGTCCAGCAGGGGCTGTGACGGTTTCCTGGCGATGTTATACAGAGAGCAGTACAGAATAGCCTCAACGTCGTGGTCCGTCAAAGGAGAAGTGATCAACGCCATCGCTAGCAGCCTTCTCACTATCCAGAACAGCTCACGCTGCTCCTCCACGTACGAGTAGTTCTCATCGAACCCCATGGCTAAAAGGACAAAGACTGCTGAGATGAAAGGGTGCCTCAGAACATAATCATCGGTAATCTCTCTGATGCCACCTGGAACTATCCAGAAGTGGGCTATTGTCAGGAAATTGGATCCAAGCTTGAGGCACAGATCTTTGTTCTTAGCATAGAATGACTTCAGGAACTCAGACTCACACACCTTGGTGAACGAGTGATACTGATCAACACGGCCAAACAACTTGGAATCGATCCTTGAGATGACATTGGACGGAGCATTCATCGTGGAGTTGTCCAGATGGTTCCATTTCCTCTTGCCCAGCGTGCTGATATACTGGTAGTCCACGTTTGACGGCTGTCCACCTCCTGATGAGGACGACTGAGTGAGTCCACTCGTCCTTATTGTGTCCAGCTTCTCCAGAACCTCACCAAGCTGTCTCTCAATCTTATCCAACCGTTCATCATCGTTATCATACACGCTCTCTATTGCAGACTCACTAGCACCCGCCTTAGCACCCGCGGGCTTAGCATCACTCTGCTGATACAGTGAGCAGTCGATCTTCAGCATGTTACACCGATGGCACTTGCCAGTAGCTGGCTCAAAGTCGCATCTCGTCTTCAGCTTCCGACATGAATCACAGCTCGATCTCTTCCTCCGGCGTTTCAACGGAAGCCTTTCAACGTACTCGGAGTCACCGCTTACAGGCTCAATTGGCCTCACCACGCTATCAGACATACAATCAGGTCAGGGAGACGCTGCTATGGTTGCAAGCTTATCGAAAACTTGTCGAAAACTTATCGCAAACGGTGAAAAGAGCAATGGCACGAGAGATAGCGCAAGTGCTCGGCAAGCGCTGGACGGAAATGCCGGCGGGGGACTTGGAGTTGGAGATAAACATCCAGACACCAGCCCATAAGCGTCAAGGTGTACATGTTTGTTTACATTTGGTGATTCTTTACATCCGTTTGTTTACTTTAAGAGACGTTTATTACTTCTGGATAGTTTCAATGGAGTGCTGAACGATGGACTCGTGGAGGCTGGGCTTCTCTGGGTGAGATTACACGATGAGAGAGGGATGTTGTGCCGGTCGTTAGTTGGAAACTCACACATCCAAGGCTTTGGCTCATGGCATCAAAAGCTGACGAGAACGATAGCCATCACCAATGCAAATGAGATGAAGGACACGTGGCCTCCCCTGGTGGCCCTTATGGCTCCATTCTCTCCGACTCTGCCATCCTGTGTTTCAGAATCGTCAATGTACGAGATCTCTTCATCCACAATGGCTCCATCAGTGTCGTACTTTACAACCTGCTGTTTTCCAGCACTGGTGCATATAATCTTACCACCTCTGATGATAGAGGCCTGGGTGCCGTTTTGATCGCCACCTCTAATCCAGCGGGAGCAGTCGAAGTCTTCGTATGAGCTTTTGATAATGGCTGAGCCACGAACCAAATTCAACCGGCCAAACGATGTCTCTTTGAAATCACCAACGAATTCGATAGCTCCGCCAACGCTCTGTAACTTTGGAAGGAAGCTGATCTTATTGACGTTTGTATTGTTGATGACCATCAACCCACCGCCAACATCTTCAACCGCTGGGAAGTCTGGATCTCTCAAGTTGTGGTTTTCAATGAGTGATAACGTGCCACCAATGTGTTTCAACTTTGGAAGTTTCACTGTTTGGAAGTCGTTATTGATCAACTCCATCGAGGCATTAACGTGCTCAATATTTTGCACGTTTAAGGATGCAACATCTCTCACTGTGATGTTATTGGCGTACTCCAAATTAGGAAATGACACAGCAGCGTTTCTAGCATTCGCACTGACGCTTAATCTGCGCGTTACACCTTTCAAGTTACAGCTGATGGTATCCATAAACCGATTGTTGTTGATGTTCAAAGTATCCAAGCTCTCGACAGCAAAGCCCGAGAACCCAATGAGGGAGGTATCGGATATGGTGATGCTGTTAATGTCGAACAACCCAGAGTCAAAATTAACGGTGCTCAATATCGGAAGCACTTTCCAATCGATAACACCAACCTTGTTTAAAGTGGGAGCATTTATGGAAGTCAACGATGTCAATTCTTTCAAGCCAAAGGTCCCATCTATCACTGCCACATTTGGCAAGTCCATTCGAACCAATCCCGGTATCCTGTGAACTTCAAGGCTGCCACCTATGTTCTGAAGCTCTCCAGTATCAAGAACAGGATCTGAGTACTCACCATCAACAATAATGGATCCAGTGATATGGCTACACTGCTCGGATATAAAGTCCATATCGCCTTGAGATTGGACATGGTATACCGCGTTCCCACACACCGCAGCGAGCTGAGTCTTTGGCTTCTCCTCGCTGGTAACCTCACTCTGTCCATTGGCATCTTCTCGACCTTCGTCATGAGCCTCGTCGTGAGCCCCACCACTCGACAACAGGCCATTCCCTGTCCGTTCCAGAGCTGCACAGAATCTTCCTGATAAGAGTGCTGAGATTAAGAGAAAAGCGGGAAATTTCATTATTCCTAAGCATGGATCCTCTGTTAGTACCCCGTCGATTCGCTCCAGAACCACAACACCACCACTCACAAGTTATTTTGAACTGGTGTTTAATGATAGCTGCGAGTGTAATTGTGAGCAGAATCCATGGGAATGAGAACAAGTTTCAATCCGTGAATGGGAACCACATTTTTTGTACTTTCTCCCTATGACACAAAACACATACATCATCTCTCTTTGTGTACCTAAGAGCACCCACTCGAGCAGCAAC